CCCCCCTCCCCCACCACCTCACGCAAAACTGTTGCCACGCTGTCGTTTTGGGGTTTCAATCAAAACATAACTATCACGACACGTTTTTAGCATGTCGCAACTGTCGTCGAGATAGAACTCGAGTCTATCTGGACGACATTGTTGTAACTGTCGTGAACTGTTGCCAGCGTGTCGCGACAAGAATTTTCTTTTGCATTGTGATTGGATGAAAGTGCTCATGCATGCACTCGCAGCTCGCTGCGAAGAGCTTCGTGCGAGGACTGGAAAACTGCCTTAAGGCAAAGCGATTCTGCGTCTTCGACCTGCTGGATTCCGATCATTCTACTCTGTAATTTAGTTAATGTATTTGGAGTTGAACAGGAAATTAGTTTTTAAAAAAGAATTGAAACTTTCAGACATGCAAGAAAGCGCAAATATGGCAAAGCAAGGTCTATCGCCAAACATACAAGGAAAATTTTGGGAAATATTTTATCGGAAATCCTAGTGACATGTGATGAATATACACACTAAATCCCGGATTAAACGAGAATGAGAGTTGGTAGTGACGTAATCTCGGTTTGATGTTCTCAATATGCCGCTTTCCCAACAATATCATGTATTCAAAATATAAGTTGCAACATACTTGGAACACTGATCAAATTAAACCTTTATTTTGTTCATCTACAGGGTGAATAAAAAAATGAGCACCCTTTCAAATTCAAATTAACCGTGATCTATTTTAGTAGTTTGACAGCCGTATAATTTCTCGAATTAATGAATGAGTGAAAACACAAGCTAGGTATTCTGCACATGGGAATTTTGGATAGCTTCCATTTACATGAACAAATATACAACTCAAAGAAAAATGTGTGCATTAGTCAAGTCTGCATAAGATATAAAATGGTCCAGCTTACTGCAGAACAACGAATATTTAAAAGGCAATGGCTAATTTGAATTTGAAAGGGTGTACATTTTTTTTATAAACCCTGTAGAGTTTGAAATGATCCTGGTAATAATGCGTGACTTGCCAACTCCGCTCATCAACTCTCATCCATTGTTTAATTAACCAGGCTGCAGATAATAACGGCAAAGTCCGACAATGCATGTGCGTCACTGTGGTTTGGAATGAAACATTTAATTGTGCTTTTCAATTATCTTCGTCGCGCTTGAATGTTGCTACTTGCAGTTGACCAAAAAAGGAAATTACAAAGCTTGAAACAATACGTGGAGGAACGCAAATTACAGCAATCATCTTCGTCACAATTCGATCGACTCACTTTGCTTCGTGCTTTGTTGTATTAAAGTGGAGTTCGCTCAATTTGATCTGTATATTTGAACGCGAAGACGTCAGAGGCATTATCTTGAAGAGAAGGCGAGCATTTTGAAAATGAATTACCTTTTAGTGGCCTGTATTTCGCTTTCTATTGTATCATTCGCAGTAGCTGCAAATGAAAGTAAGTATCATTTGAAAGTTTGTATTATTCGCAGTAACAGTTGTTTTTGTTAACAAATGTACACTCTATGGTCTATAAGAGTATAAATCTCTGGCTCACGTTAGTGCGAACGCCGGATAGCGCTACGAAAGCCGGATAGTGCTATCCACCGGATCTGATTGTTTCAAGCTTTTTTTAATAATTGTAGGATCATACCGCAGTTCTATAAGTATTTTTTCAACTGACCCCAGCAAGTCTTGGCAGTCGATGATCAGTACTGTGATACAGTACTGATATCTGTAGAATGCAAAATAATTGAAAATCCAAAGAATTCCAATGTAATTGCTTTCTTAGATTAGTACTACAAACTGCCGTACGTGGGTTGGGTTTAATTCTGAACTACCTGAAAATATATTCTTGTGAAATTCTTTGCCCCTCAAGTTGCCCCAACCGAGTCATATTTCCTTGGAAATTTGGCCCCTTCTCTAGAATTTTGGCCCTCCTTTTAGGACTAAACAAATATATCTCTCTTATAAATATATTTGAGAAATCCATATAAAATCTCAGTCTCAAGAAGGTATAAAATTTTGTAAACGTTGAATGCATATGCATTCCAAACATGCCCATGTTCAATTAGCGTTAGCTATGGAAAGCCATAGCTGTCTTAAGTGATCAAACGACATTTTGTTGGGTGCTTTTAGCATTGTACTCGGTTCTTTCGGCATTATTCGCGGTGCTTTCGGCATTATACGCGGTGCTTTCACCATTATACGCGGTGCTTTCACCATTATACGCGGTGGTTCGAGCATTATACGCGGTGGTTCGAGCATTATACGCGGTGGTTCGAGCATTATACGCGATGGTTCGAGCATTATACGCGGTGCTTTCACCATTATACGCGGTGCTTTCAACATTATACGCGGTGCTTTCGTCATTATACGCAGCTAGCGTTGCGCGCGGTGCTTTCACCATTATACGCGGTGGTTCGAGAATTATAAGCGGTGCTTTCAACATTATACGCGGTGCTTTCGTCATTATACGCAGTTAGCGTTACGCGCGGTGCTTTCACCATTATACGCGGTGGTTCGAGCATTATACGCGGTGGTTCGAGCATTATACGCGGTGCTTTCATCATTATACTCATTTGCATCATTATGTGGTAGTGAGCATCATTATGTGGTAGTGAGCCAGTATGTTTGGACAGCGGCTTAGAAAGAATAATATTTTATACTTCATGTCTCGAACATATATTGATATTTCGATCACATGTTAACATTTACATGTTTTGCGACGGCAAATTTTCGCAATATATTTAGAGTTCTTTGAGGGGGAAAAACGTTTACTTCGAACACGATTAATGTTAAAAGAGTGCTATTTAGTGTTATATTTTTTTGTCGTCGACGAAATACTTCGATCTCTGGGTATGGAGACAGTTTTTCTTAAGTTTAGATTAATTAGGTAATGAGAACCATATTGCCTATTGGTGTCCTAGTAATAAATTTATGCCACAATATAGTCCCTAAATGTTAGATCAAAAAGTGTAGTGTGAAATATGATAGTGTGATGGCCTCGTGTTGTTGGCACAATGTATATGCCTGTGAAAATTATGTTGAGATAAAACTGAGGAAAAAACGACTTGTATTTGTATAAATGTGAACCTAAGAAATATAAGTAAGCTACAGGTGTAGATTTATGAAACATAAAATTGGAGATGCATGTGAGATATTGTTTATTAATAGACATTTATAAATAGGACATTACGCACGCGTCATAGGGGCGTGGACTATAAGACAATAGGTTGTTGTTTTGGGGATTTTTACGTTGAAGAATCGAACTAATGAACTAGAGTCTAGATTCGAATTGATATTATGAGAAAGTCTTACTACGGAATATAATACATCTAATTGAGCAGTCTAAAATATATTACATGGTCCTTCAGAGCTGGATTAAATTGAGGATAAAATGAGTAATATCAAGAAGAAAATAAAGATACGACAGGGTCATAGAGTTTATCTTACGAAGATTCTGGGCAATGCCGATGATATTGTTCAGAACTACGATGGAAATCAAGAAAAGAAACTAAAGCAAATCAGGATCACTCTAAAAGAACGATTGGACACTTTAAAGACCCTTGACGAAGAGATTCTAGAGCTTATCGAAGCTGACGAGGAAATATCTACTGAGATCGAAGAAGCAGGAAAATATCGCGAGAGTGTTCACGAAATGATTGTAAATATCGACAGCGTGCTCGAGGCCAAACCGATGAATGAAACTATGTCTATGAGTATGAACGATTCACAGCAACTATCTACACCAGGACATTATCAATCGACAATAAAACATGCGAAGTTGCCAAAACTTACTCTAAAACAATTTGATGGACAGCCATGCGAATGGCAAGCATTTTGGGACAGTTTTAAGTGCGCAATACATGAGAATCCGGGGTTATCCGACGTGGATAAATTCAATTACTTAAAAAGTTTACTGGAAAAGTCTGCAGCAGCCACGATCGAGGGTTTATCGTTGACAGAGAGTAACTATGAAACTGCGATTGAACTATTACAGCAAAGATTCGGAGACAAGCAAGTTGTCATTAGTAGCCATATGGATAGTTTATTAAAACTCCCACAACTACGTTCATCTACCGATACTAAAGGTTTACGGCGTCTTTATGATCAAATCGAAGCACACGTGAGAGGGCTAAAATCGTTAGACGTGCCAGACACGGAATACGGGGCGTTGTTATTACCGATTTTAATCGGCAAAATACCCGACGAAATACGCATTTTACTCGGTCGCAAAATGACAGGCGAATCATGGAATTTGAATACGTTACTTGAGAATTTTCGCGAGGAATTGGAAAACCGGGAAAGATGCGAAGGAATTCAAGCTTTATCTTTTAGAGACGGTCGAAATTTCAACGAACAACGAGGAGGGAGAAAATATTCGAACACGCCATTTACGGCAGCAGCGCTAATGACGGGTAAGACAACTATTAACTGTTCGTTTTGTCAAAAAGAACATACGTCAGCCAGTTGTTTTGTTGTTACGGATATCGAAGCAAGAAAACAGATCTTACGAAAGCAAGGACGATGTTTTTTGTGTCTCAAACGAAATCATATTGCTCGGGATTGCGAATCAAGGTATATGTGCAAATATTGCTCGGGAAAGCATCATGTTAGTCTGTGTAATAATAATTCGAGACAGTCCTTAGCAACAAATTTGAGACAGTCCTTAGCAACGAGACAAGAATCAAATTCCAGACAGCAATTAGGAAATGTACAAGATAGTCTAGCTAAAGAACAAACAACACAATCAAGGGAC